TACTATTAATGGCCTTCTTCTTGATAAGAAAAAAAATGAATCCGAAAGAACAAATACAATTAATATTTAGTGGTCAGATGTCACGATCTTTTAAAATTACTTGTTCACTGGCTCCATTTTCCAGTCGAACTGTTTAAAATTATAATTGTACGTTTCTCAGTAAAAGAGGAAACGTATAACCTAACCAAATTCAGTATATAAATATTGGTCCAATTCTAACATTGACTGTGAATTCTATTATTATTCGTTGATAAGATCACTTTCCTCGATGCCGGGGAGGGGGATAACACCCTCACTCCACCAAATTCCGTTGACGTGTTCTTGCTGTCCTCAGTGGATATTATCGCAGCTAGTATTATTTTGCCAAAACACGCAGTACTGTCGCGTATAACTGCAATAGTACATATTCGTAGCAGTTGGACTCCAAGGAATTAATATGCGCGTTCATATTTCACTCATTCCATTCTATTTTCCATCTATATGTTAATGACCAAAGTAAATTTCAAGTTGAGATAGTAATCGACCAATTTAACATGAAAGAGATATTTAATAGGGTGAGTGGTTCCAAGCAATATCATAAAAGAATGACGATATGAGTAAGGAAGTGAACACAATTAGACATGTTGATTAAAATACATGTACTAGTAAGGAGATGGGTGTAGCGGCGACATGATCACGTGGTACGAAACAGCTTATATAAAGGGGGAGGGTGAAACATGCGTCGAGGGGAGGGAAGTAGCGTACGTCAGTGCACTTTGTCCCGTCACGTTGTCGGATCGGCTTCTGACATCATCCCGTTATGGACTAGAGACAGTCTAAGACGGAAACACGCTAAGCCGATCTCGAAACATAACTAAGACACGGAATGGGGAGTGGGTCATTTTACTTTTTTTTCTTATTGGGAAGAACAGTTAATTAGGAACCCAATTACGTGACGACTGTTCATGACTCGGACGATTCAACATAGACAGTGCACTGACCTTCGTGTCCCTTGTTGAATTGCATGGTGGTTTTGTCTCTTTTTGTCTTGAATCAAACAAATCGTTTTGTGTTTTTCCAGTTATTCTATATAATAGTCCCCAGAATTTGTTTATCTGCCTTGATGAGGATATCACATTGTGCGGGACCGCATCCAGTGTATTTACGTGTGATGTCAAGAAATAAAGGCCGACCACTATTCGATATTTTCTCGTTTTATCGGTAACCTATCATCCATGTTGTTTTCAATACTTGATTAAAATCGAATTGGGAAAATTAGAAATTAATCGGAACGTCATCTGTCAAAAGGGATGTATCTTTCAAGGTCTTCAGCAATCATTAGTTGCTAAAATTATTTTGAAACTTAATCCGAGTTCATCAACTAATTTGTTTTCAATCTGCCTGACAGTTGCAGCTTTTAAAAAACAAAACAACAGCAACTGTGATAGTCTACCCACGGATCTTTTTTTAGCTCCATGGTCTGCCTCAGGCTCCCCGCGCAGCTCTTAATTTCCCTGCGAGCAGGTAATTAATAATAACATAACACACAACAATTAAAGTGATAGACGCTGATTTGTAAATAGTACCTTATCAACAACCATATTTTCATTTAGTACATCAAAAAAAAGCTGGCAACAGAAGCTACATAGCGTTCCCGGTAGCATTGCGTGAACACGATGCCGTTATTGCGATGTGCACCACCACCTTCCGAGGACAGACGGTCACGTGGTAGATCCTTCTAATATTGGCTTTTAATTAAAACCGAATTACTAATCAATATTTATAGGTTAGGTAATCTCAATTTCATTCAACTTTGTATCACAGCGAATTACACCAAGGAAAGTCAGTCATCCAACCAACCACGTAAACAGCCCAGAGATAATATAAAACTCAGTACGTTTTCCGACCCGACTGTCGACGATGTTCGTGTAATTGAAAGACAGACTTGATTACATTCTGGAGACGAGTTTGCTAATCAGTATGAGTGTCATTTGCTCTCGTGATTTCATTACATTTTACTCGAATCTGCACAAATTTGTCAGAATCTCCGTGACGAGGCCCGCGAAATTGACAAGACCGCATGCTTCGCGTGGTGTGATTGTCTTGCGCGGGGACGGATAAGGCGCTCACATACGTTCTTGCTGACGAAATACAACTACTGTCCGATATCGAAGCGAGTAACATAGGTGTCAATTAGAGAAAACGCTCCTAACCCAGATACGACCATTTCTATTATTGAATTTCAAATATCGAGTCGCATACGAAATGCAGCCAATTTCCTTCCATGACAGCTGCCACCATTCATAATAAACCCTGTTTATTTTCATTGACATTGGGTAAATTGCTCGACTAGCTTTATAATAGCTCGCAATAATGAAACCTTCAAATTGGGGACGGATTAAACCTGTAATTGGGTTCTTGCTTGGAAACATCAATCACGCTAGTGATGCGTCGACGATGGTTTGGAAAGAAAAAAAAAAACGTCACATCATGAAGAATTCTTCTCGGTTCCCCCGGCTTAGCGCGTTCGCGTCTTCCAAGTCCTTACTAATGAAGTACCATATTTTTTAATAAGCCACTAACGCAGTATACGATAGAATGTACGATGTCCGCTCTGTGCGACTTCCCTGAAGAACACGGACTATTTTTTTTAATAAGTTGGGTAAAGGAAATGAAGTTGTGGTGATAGGTCGACGACCCCGCGCTAGTTAATTAGTGTGTCTTTTAATTGGCCGATCCAAACACACATTTCTGGTCGTGTAGTCTGAATAAATCAAACTATCGCCAACATTGATAACCTGAGGAACGTCGTGTTACTCGTGCTGTTATTTTGTTTATTTATTTATTTATTTGACGTGGCTGTCATTGTTTTATTGCTATTGTTTTTCCATCCTTCGTGATATATTGGATTTCATTATGCTATACTGACCGAGACAATGGCCCGATACTGTCTCGCTGTGAAATGTACCTGGATGTGTTGACAGCTATACGATGTAGTTAAATTGAATTTTCCTGTCCAGTTTCAGACGTGCTTGTCACCGTTTTAATTAGTCTGGTTGTTCCCGGTATTAATACCAATATTGGTACAATAAATAACTCGTTCGTTATCCCGTCCCCAACGTCCGGACTCCAACTTTAACGGCAGTGTCAACAATAACGCAACCATCCCGGGTAATTTTTTCAGGTAGATTGCAATTACGTGCCGAATTGTAGCATCAGTTTCGTGAGAAAGCTTAATTGTGTCGGACTTATGAGTTAGTAAACAAATAATTGACAGCGGGTATTGTTGTTGTTCGTCGCTGGCTGTCATTGAAAGCAGCTGTATTGTCGCCTTGGGTATATGTGACTCAAGCTCCCATAGAAAACCAAATAACGTGGTAGGGTAAAATGTAATTACACCCGAGTCACGTGACTGCAGATTATCTCTTTAATTATGGATACCTTATTACAGCGCAACTATGCCAGGACGATCCATTTCCCGCCGGCGGTGGGATTGCCGTTTATGAACAGAGGGGCTTGTAGTGAATTATTTTAATTAGATTAATGGAATGCGAGTGCATTAGGCAAATCATGGTAAAAGGTTTATTTTTGTACAGCGAGCACTCAGATCCATTAGTACGTAACCCAGCAAAGAGGAATAACGTGTAAAATGACAAGGTCGGAGATTAAAAGCATGTCAAGCTAAATTAGTCTCCCCCGCCACCATAATGGAACGTGCCACTTAGGTTGGCAATTACTGGCAAGGTGGCTAGTTTGTCGTCTGACCATTGTTGGCGCTCTCTTCAGTACTCCACACATGTTGGTTTCAGCTGACACGGTTATTTAGAACGGTGTAACGTGATTCGCCCGCTGGTAATCATTGAGTCTCATTCAAGACAAGGTTCAATACTGGTGAAAAGCCTCAGTGCTGGCATTACGTCGACAACGATAACAGCCATTGCTGGCTAACACGAAGGCACCTCTCAGACCCGTCAGTTCATACGACTACATGTACACACGTTCACAGCGATTCCGAGCGAGTTACCCGTCCTACTCCGATCGCACTGTAACGTCGAGATAACTGGAGTGATACTGCAGACCCTCCCGCGAGTCACGACATACCAGTTGACGAACGAGCACAGTGTCTTTGTACGGACGTATCATCGCCTCCATCACATGGAATGGTTCTATATATTACCGTGTACACACAGCTAAATGACTAATATCCAGCGTCGCTAAAAGCATTTGCTGTTACGTTTTTTTCTTCTTAACTGTGAAGGGACTATAGTGGCAACACATTATTGTGATAGATCGCTATAGATCGGCTTGTCCGCTAATGGAGAATAAAGGTCCTCAGTTCGATAACATTACCGGTGAGTGTGCATACTAGTATATTGCAGACGAGGCCATCGCTGTGTGTGTTTACAGTCAGTCCTTCGTTCTTTTTCCCGATGCTTATCGTCATTTTCCGCCACTATTACAGGGTAGGGATCGTCGATTGTCAAATGTGTGCGTTCTGCGGGCTGCTGGACCGCCCTTTTAGCCATGCATTCGCTGGTTAAAAGCACATAGTGGCCTGATTGCGCTAACAGCTGCGTTGAGGCACGCTTTAAATAGTGCTTGGGTTGACCTCACCAGTGCGTCGATATTACTTGCCTTGCATGTCGTTTGTAAGATAGAATACATTACTGGGCTGTTGACAGCTTCGAAGAAACACGACTGTCTTACTAAAAAACGTTCAGCGCTGTCTTTAAGATTATGAAATTGTCAACCAGGGCACCAAGGGTGGTCTTGAAATCCACTACGGTTCGCCGCCCAATTTGAAACCTGGGATCCTGTCAGTCTCGTTATGTTTTGACGGCGTGTGGTGGTGTATATAGCATACACTCCAAGTAAAAAACACACCACGATTGACTCACTCTGTGGGTAAGCCTCGTAAAAAATGTGGCTATAAAAATACTTGTGCCCACACACCCTTCCTCCTCGCATTCACGGGTTGTTTATTTATTAGGCATTTTTGTCGACTATTTTATTTTTTACAGCAACCATGCAGCAACAGCGGGCACAGAGTGTAGTGAGTACAACGAACAACAACAACAACGCCAACGTCAGGTCCTGCGCGGGATGTGGCGTAAAGATCATGGACCGATTCTTACTACATGCTCTTGATCGCTATTGGCATACTGGGTGTTTGAAGTGTACGTGTTGTGGGGCGCAGCTTGGTGAATTGGGTCCGTCGTGTTTTTCGAAGGGAGGCATGATACTCTGCAAAAAAGACTATTTAAGGTAAGGTTAATTGCATTTCGTTTTAATGTCTTAATTAGGCGGAAAGTCGTCTGTTTATACACGCGTGTTGGTTGTCAGTTTCACCCGTAATTGCGCGATGTGTTCCCATTTATTGGTCATCAAGTACTACGAATTGTGCTTACCTAATTACAACGGGCACTGTGTATACTGATTGACAGTCGGTGGGTGCTACAATGAAAATCAGGTCTATTGTGCTTTTGCGAATTTAAAAGCATGTTTACAGTGCCGCCACATTCAACTCGACCCAGTCTGCTGTATGTTTGAACTTTTTGAAAGCTCTTCGAGCTTGTCATTTCTAGTCAGTTATATATCTTTATTTTTAATTGAGATGATTGGCGTGTTTACCTTTATTATATAGTGGGGACGACGGGCCTACGTTGGTTGTACAGAAAACAAACCAAACATGTCGGCGATATAGAGAACACGTAGCGACTGGTCAATGTTTATTCCACATTTGGTGATGTTTTCGCCTAGTTTATTATTTCCATCTTTTCCAACATGAAGAGTAAACACCCTACGTGGCTAGAAACTCGTGCCGGGCGAGTCATGGTGGTTCTAGCATCGTTGTACATTGATTGAAATCGCTAGTTGACGAATAACTGGAACGAGCGTCCATTGAGCCGTCTTCTACGTTAATGCGCATGTGCGATCGCTTTGGTTAATATTAGTGCACTGAATTCTAATTGCCATTAGGCGGTAGCACGGCAAAGATATTGGATATAAGTGGTGGCACTCATTGAAGATTGAGAGCACGTCGCTAAAGATTGAATCGAACACCCCGAACCATTGTAAACTGGGCTAATCAGATGCTCCGTAATTAAGCTTCAGTGTCGAGCAAATATAACGTGTATAAAAGGGGAGCACTTCGGCCGGCGAGTGTGTTATGGAAACGAACACTCGTTCTTTTACACTAGGGTGACTGGCTGTCCACCGCACACATAACTGATTAGCTGCGGGAATCTATTTTAATAGCTTTCTCATATTGGTTCTAAATTAAGTCACAGCTAAAAATAAGACTGCTGTAATAGAGGCATTTATTATTGTCGGACAGCTCCGGTTAAGGGCTTCCCTTAAGAACACTTCGGCCCAGCAATTTTTGTCGACGTAAATAATGGGTATGGCGTGTATAGGCTTATATAAATGTAAATTATTGTGGACACGTGAGCACCTGCTTACCTATTCATTCGCAAGACTCCATGAAACAGTATTAAAATATATATTTAATGATATTTTCTAGTAATAAAATCGCAATATAACTGCGTAACGAGGGTGTCTACAATGGTCATACATCATGGATGGGTGTTCGGTGTCTTATCCCTTTTTCCCCATTACCGACTCTCGGAGGAATTCTACGCCGAAACTTGTATCACCAAAAGGGATCTAGTTTTATCAACGCTGCATTTCGATATAACTGAATGCCATCTCCGTGCCCTGGAGACGGAGGTATCATTAAGACGGGCCCTATTGTCTGGGAACACAGTGGAGGTCTCATTAAAACTTGGTAAACGCTAGAGTATTTGCTAAAAGCCCGTTACTTAGCTGTGACCAAACCCACTCAGCCTGTATTAGTATGCCATAATGCAGTTTTTCGATTCGTACCTAAATTAAGTATGAGCCACGCCAACCGTGAAATTCTTAATGAACTTAGAATGTGTAGAGGCTCGTTAACGTTTTTACTTGTGAATGTCAACACTCTCAGTACATGCTTTTTCATTTAGCCAGCCTCGCTCGGCTTTCTGTTTACCTGCGGATCACGGCGCTGACACGACAGCGTTTCGGTGAAGAACGACTCCGGTAAATCAGCTCGGCAACTCTAGTAATGAAAAGTGTAATTTTGCCTGTCGTTAATGTATATAGAGTAGGGGGCAAATGGGTGTAAGCATATGGAAGGCGAGACGTATTCCCTAGTCGCCCAGAACGAGCTTGAGAAATAAAATGCAATAATTGTTAATATCGACCATGTGATTGGGCGATGTCCACGGATCGACCTGATGTGACCTAATCACATGGTTAGTATATAGAGAAAAGAGTACTTGAGTTTTTCTCGTTCAATTTAACATATAGAAGAAAATGTCTCCTTTTAAATTGGAGCCATAAATATTCCATGGTCATAGTGGCCACTAAGGAATAGCACCTGTCTGTCAGTGTGCGCAGTACGCGCCAACGTATATTGTTGCCTGTGCACGAATTTATATTTTTTTTATGTGCAATTTATAGATAAAAAAAAATGTAAAACAAATCACAATTAAATAAACGTGAAACTGTTAATATGTGATCTTAATTGAGCTGTTTGTCTTCCGGTGAAGGTAGGTTAAGTTGTTAACGCTGTACGTATGATAACGTGGAGTAGGATGTTCACCGGTTTTTTTTTTTTTTTAAACGCGGGAAAAGCGGGGAGTCTATAATCACTTCAGTCGAGGTCTATATTTTATGTCCCATTTTAATTGGATCGAATAAAATGTATTTATTTGTTTTATTCTCTTTGACGGGCATATGTTGGTTGTCAAATGGTTTGAAGGTAATGGCCCATTAATCGTAAAACGGAGAGTGGGATGTTTCGAATTAAGAACTCGCTGTTTATAGTAGTACTTTTTACTTAGTTTTGGGCAAGGCAATCTTTCCCGATACAATGCACATTTCCCGACACAATTCCAACGCTTTCGTGGCGGGTCAATTTTGAAATTGCATTCGAAAACTGGAGGACAAACCCCCGCAGTTCCTAAGACTGCAACGCGCTCTTCTTTATATCGGCGGATAAATTCAGTAGTGATTTGCCGTGCTAGTAGAGAATGTCAAGCTATAATCCCGTCAACAGGTATTCTGAATAATCCTGGAAATATGGTAAATTGTCTGGAGGCCTTAATATGTCATTAAAGCCTTCTTTAGTGGGCTTCCAATGACAAGCGCGAGACGTCATCTAACTCCCAGGGGCACAATTGAGATATGATATTGGACAGGTAGCTGTAACCATGCGTAGTATAGTACGTTTCGCCGCCATCTTTATTAAACCCATATTCACGATTGTAGGCTGATCAATGATATGATAAGCGGCAGCCAAGCCAGCCAGCCAGCCAGCCAGGCAATCCATCCGATGTGCGTAACAGTGCAAAACGTTAGAGGGTCTATCCCAGCTCCTATTGATCTCAGAAAACAAGTCTACTTTACCAGGGCACAATTAGGGAACACTTTTCTTGTTTTTCTTAAAACCACCCACAAAAGCGTATGACAATGGAAGAGTTTTTGGATTAAAGTGTGTTGACTGACAACTTCGATCTGAAATGAGCCTTTATTAATGTACGCCTTTGTGCGACAGTTAGTGTAATTAGTCGTGCCATGTATTATTAGGTGGTTGTTTTTCTGCTGTTAATTTACTTTAATGTCCTGTATGTTGTATACCACTGCTAAAATCTATATATTGAAGTGTGTAGCCTCGATTTCAACGCGTGCAAGAGAATTTTTCCCGCGTCTTTGTTATCTAGCTTGCTCGAAAATTTCCAATAAACTCGTGATATTATTTTTAGATACACACGCTTGCTGTGTAGTGTATGTAAAAAAGGGGACCTTGGATATGTACAGAAAGAAATACCGGATCGTGTCAATGCCAGTACTAACATACGTGATTTAGTCCGCTTCATTCGTGGGTAGTTTACTTTCTTTCTAGATCCGCTAACAGAATTAAGTTCAATTTGAAGCCCTTTTACCATCCCGTGTTACAAGAGTTTAGCTTAGTTACAACAAACAGACACGGCTTTTATCTTAGTGCCTATAATAGTGGCCACTTATCGCGGGGTGCTCTTTTATATGGACTGTCACGTGACTTTCAGTTAAATTGAGACCTATCGTCTCCAGTCTTGGGGAAAATTCGATTCTTATTATCCACGAGTAAATACCAACCAAACTAACATCTCTTAAACTGTTTTTAAAAGGGCTGTCAGTCCCGTCTAGAAATCTTTTATTGGGTTATTTGCTGACTACTTTGGATTTTAAAATCCACTAGCACTGTCAGATGTTGGTAAAGTCTCTTTGCGGTAATGGTCGATGATTTCATTAGTGGACGAGGGGGATTCGAGCGCTGGAGATCGGATGACAGCGGAGAATAGCACAATGTTGACAGGAGCGGGACTTAGTAAAAAGGCAGACGTGACCATCCTGACTGGCGGAGGACCCCCCGCAATATTTGACGATTAACACCTCTTTGTTAGCACCAATACACGCAATCCATCGAGGTTGACTGAGGACACACAGCATCCATACTTATTGTCTGTCCTTGAGAAGTAAAAAATGAAAAATTTTGCATCGTTTTGTCTTTGTCAGTATAATGTCCATGCTTATTTCTCCCTGTCTGTTTGTGCACTCATTATTGCTACATGCGCTGTGTTTTTAAAAATGCGTTGCGCAATCGCTTTTTTTTTACAATTGTTGTCAAATATTATATTCTACAACTTGAATCTATTCACAATTATACTATGTTTTGTAACGTATCCCAAAGAATGTATCAAGTAGAAACTGTTGACTCTTATCCGGATTAGTTTCTGATTTGCTTTTTTTGTAGTTCACAGTTGATGTACCCCTATGTGCTCAGGCTTGCTACAGTGTGGTTGCGTATAGCCACGCACTTTGGGTACAATGTGTGTGTAACTGACCCCCCTATCGTTGACGACCACCAGAGCATGTGACACCAGCATTTGATATCGACGGAGTAACCGGACTACACATGCGTTGACAGAAACGCCAAATTCTTCTTCTTCACCCAAGCATATTACTAACTCACAATAATTTGTTACACCTTGTTTTCTTCCCTTTTAGACTTTTCGGCAACAGTGGTGCTTGCAGTTCGTGTGGTCAGTCGATACCAGCCAGTGAATTGGTCATGCGGGCGCAGGGGAACGTGTATCACCAGAAGTGTTTTGCTTGCACGTCGTGTCACAATCAACTCGTTCCGGGTGACAGGTTTCTGATAGTTAATGGCAACCTGTTTTGTGAGACCGACCACCTTAAGATATTAAGAGCCAACAATAACACAGGAATACGAGCGAGGAATAAGGTATGTCGCACGCTTATATGTCGTCTACAACAGGATAGTGCCAAGACCATGCATATCCGGCCCTGTTCAGAGATGAAATACGTAATAGGCGTTTCCCCCCTTTCTTGGTTGTGGAACTGCCTCTGTGAGATTTCAGATTTATTTAAAATATATACTTTTCATAGTGTCAACATTGATAATATTAACTCGATGTTGTCAATTCATAAATAGGAAAAAAATATTGACTAGGTCCGAAAGGGTCCAGTGTCATGATTTCTGGATCACCTGGACTGCGACTCCTTCGGTGATACGGTCAATGTTTCGCCGAAATAAAGCCTGTGTACCCACTCACATGGTTGTATTGGTGCTAGTATTGCAGGAAACCTGAATACACTTGTGTTACGCAATCCCAGACGACGGTGAATGATTGACACAGCAGATAGGGAGGGGGGAATGGGCATATAGTTCTAAGTGGGCACCTCCCCAGGTGTGGAATTGCATTCACGTTGGCTAAAAGGAGCACTCAAGTTATGGCATACGTGAAAGCTTGCAGCTATACTTAAAAACTCGAACAGAAATGTATGTTTAATGAGAATATGCCTCTACCTGTTACAGTAAGACATTCAAGTCGGATAGAAACATCGTTGATGTTTTATATTGTATGTTTTTTGTTGAGTTAGATTAGGCCAGGCCACCAGACAATGCATTAAATTATTTCCCAACGATGTTGAAGCCTGCCCAGACACGTGGATTGGTTTAATCTCTGTATTGTTGGGTGCCATTTGAGTGTGTATAGATATGCTACATTATCGGCCACGCGATATGCTTATATTTCTAAAATTGTGAACACCCAATCGAAGCAAAAAATGTGGTTCGTTTTCAAAATTGCAATACGTGGCGAAAGAAAAAACCGGCCTTGGCCCACCCCGATATGAATAAACTATAATGAATACTTGACTTATCAGTAAAAAATAACGTTCTTAGCATATAAATGATACAAGGAGGTTCCAGAAATGTGTTTATTCGGTTCGCTTTTGTGATGAAAAAAACAAACCAGAAAAAAAAAGAAGAACACTTAGGAAGTGACACAACCGTAGAAATTAACGTTTTTAATTAACAGTAATCTCTGGTTGTTAAATTAATGTCTCTGCAGTTTTTGTTGTGCGTGCGCTATATCATATTCAAATTTGCCCGCCAATGTTTGTGTGACGTCAGAGGAGGGGGAAAATTGCGTGTTTGCATACTCGACAAATTGTATTTGTAAATACACGCGGATTAGTAGTGAAGTTATTTTAATTTGAAAAATGGCACGCAAGAACTCGCCGGGTTAAATGCTCAGTATGTTTCCCTGATGCACTGCACCGAACCCATAATTTCTCAATAAAAGCATTGTGTAATACCCATCAAAGGTGGTATGACAACTGTAATATACAACGGTCTTGTCAGATTTAATAGCACAAAATTTATCCAATATTACCTTGTATATTACTAACAAAATAAATTAGACAATCCTGTTTAATAACGCGTCTTTTTAATAACAGCCACTGTTTAATTAATTTTGCTCGACGGCTTTTCGAGTCTGTCACTCAAACTCGGCATACCAGTAAATTGTGATTAGATCCGTCATTTTTCGGAGGAACAAGTCAGCCTAATAGCATGACTGCTGAAAATGAGGTCGAATTTATCAGAAATTGAACTTTTAATTATCGAAATTGAACAGTGGAGGAGGTTGTTGCAAATAAATTTGGCGCCAATATCGTGTTTTTAATCTCGACGGCCGAGCAACCCGATAACGTGCAAGCCAATAAAAGCGGCGGACATACAAGCTGCAACTTGCAATTTCCTTTTTTTTAAAGAAAAAGAAATGATAATCACGGCTGATGAAAATTGGTGGTCTTTGAAAGATTTGAGTCATCCCATCGACTTAATGATGATCATTCCAATGGCTTTGCTTATCTCTATAGCGATGTTCTCAGTTTGTTTCCTCCACTTCAGACCACCTGACATAAGACTATTGAATGTTCCCACAGCAGACAGACGTCCGTTGTCATGTTGTCTTCGCAAAGACTACATTCCCCCCAAAAAAACAAATGTCCGCGTTCTCTAGCTCGTCTTAGATAGGATTTCATAGAGTGAATATACAGTGACACCCAGAGAAAAATCTGATGAACAATCCGAGCTTATGTGCAGTTTTATTTTGCTGGCGGGCAAATTTGGTGGCAGACGATAAAAACGATGCTACCAATTTGCGGTGGAGTGTATGAGATCGTGCCACAAGAGAGGCTTGCTTATATAGAAAAGCATACGGACGATAATTAGTGCTCTATTTATGACTGCAATTTCAATTTGAAAATTCATTATTTCTACTGAAGCGTGCACCACTGAGGGACAGCCCCAACCGATCGACAATCGAAGAATATCAGGCCGATTCACATCCAATGACTCCCTATAGGCAGGTGCGAGAACAAGAAAGCCAAATTTGATCCGCGCATGATTAATTTCTCGAACATAAAATGAGAGGAAATGGAAAACGGTCTCCGTTTGAAGGCGATGTGTTTACGAAGGCATCTACACACTAATGGAAAAAAGGGAACGAATTCCAGTTCCCGTCAAAGCCGGCTAATGTTATGAATAGACTCTCGTAAAAATAAACACGTTCATTTCCTTTCTTTATGTATGATGAGACCCCAGCACATGTTGGTGTCCATACAATGAGACGCCATTAAGACCCCCTAATCAGCGCATTATTTGTTTAAAACGTATTCCAATTTCCCAGTCGGAAAATGAATTGGAAATACTTGGCCGTTGGTGATGAGGTTGGTTCTGCGCATGCGTCGCGCGATACACGTCAATCAACACGGCTAACCAGCTGTCCATTTGCTACGGGTCGGTTACTTTCCAATTTAGTCTCGGTAAAAACTTAGATGGCGGTCTTTACAGTCTCTATAAACATGCCCAAAAGAGGGTCGTAATTCGATTTAAAACTGATTTGTCGAATCTTTTCATCTCGGCGAACATATCTATGTTCCGATAGATCGATTTTCGTGCGAGCCATACATCTTTTGAAAGCAAACTACTGTTTATTTGCATCGTATATAGCTGCCCATTGAGCAATATTATAACTATTAAATTTCCAATTTAGTGAGGTTAATTGGTATCGGGTCTTCCAGAATAGCAGTTGATTGGCAATTTATAAAGCTAATCTATTAATTTAACAAAGTGGAAGAGGGTAATTAATTACATGGCAAAAATAGTCTCGTCTATTTCACCATATATGTTTACCCATTTTCTACGCAGCTCAGCATGACTGAACGCTATTTCGGGCTGGGATGCCTTCGAACGTATATATTTATATATGCTGAAACTTGCATCATACCGTCTTCTAAATTTATCATACATGTCAAAAATAAAACTGAACGCTGATGCATGACCAAAAGTGTGCTAGGGTGGCCAGAGATAAAACGAAAATGAATGCGATGTGTTCTGGAGTGTGACGAGGCCCAAGGAGAGAGTTTCACATTCTTGCTGTCTCGCTCCTGATCCGTGAACTGATCAACACCTCTAACTTTATGGTATCAAGGCCAGATATCACAGTACAAACGAGTTGCTCAGCTGTTGGTGGCAACTGACAGAACTCTTGCAAATAAAAAAGTAAACAAGTCTTCGACGTTACTACTTATTGTTTGGAACTTGGAGTTATAAATAATTAATACACATATGTATGCACTAAAATTCCTGTTTGGAATTATAAATATGATGGGCGATGTTATAGTCATAGATGTATTTTAAAACATCACAAAACTCGTACGATGTTTTCCAGACTCGTTTAGTGGTAGCGGTTTTATTTTGTAATATTAGCTCTACGCTGAAAAAAACAAACAAAGCCATTATTTTTTTTAGTTAGATATATAGGGGATACCCGCAAATGTGATTAAATGGTACAGTTATTGTGTGTTAATAGAAATTGGATCGGCAATGAATTGACTGCGTACATTCCTATTGTGATTGCCCTACGACATATGTTGGTACATATACCAAGTAAATTGGCTAGTTTGTTTGTTTGAGTTCGTGAGTGGAGGTGCAATGTGAATACTCGCCCAATTAGAGTTCCCATATGCCAAGTAAACAAGCTTTGGACTATGCTTGTACATGTGCACATGTTATTGCGATAGAACCCTGCTCACTGTCTTTTTGGAAAGAAACATCATCACTGTCCCATCTGCGACGGTATGCTCCAATAATCGACTTCGTGGGAGTCCCCCCCCCCCGCGCCGGCTCTCATCAATCCGACACCAGACCCGGATTTTCGACTCCCTGTTCGACTGAATGTTAGTTTCGGGGTATCTCTCTTGCTGTTCTAATTCCAATTCAGCTAAAGAAATCATTTTAACTAGACCGAAACCTGATTAATCACGTGTACAAGTTTTATTTGCGCGGCCCTCCTGTTGGTGATTAACAAATGTTGCTTTCCCAGACATGATGATCCGCGGGAGCCGTATTTTGTGATAGGATCTACGCATGCGTCGACCGTGTTAACATATTTTTTTGTTAAGTATAGCCACACATATGTTGCATGGATCTTTTAAACTGGGTTAATTCAATAATATGTGTTTAAAAGCAATTAACTTTTATTGTGTTTAGTCTTGTTTGGAGAAGCGATGCCATTTGTACTGCCTTTTCAAGATAGTTCGTTCTGGTATGTATTTGTCGATTATCAGCGATCCAGTGAACTGATATAATATTATGCACTGTTGTGAAAATGATTATGCCTTTCCCCGTGATATCTATCGCTTTGGACCAATTATGTAGCGATTTTGTAATTCTTAAAAAAATAAATTAAATTAAATTAAAATAAAATTAGTACTTGTCCTCGAGTACATTGTGGGGGGTGAGCGTTTGGGTGGGGTGTGCACCGGTGGAAGGCATGCCAGTGAATTGAAATTGGTACTTGTTTGACAATATAGTAGTCGCGCCCTCAAGTGCATGGAAGGGGATTGGCATTTGCGGCGGGATGAGCACTGCTGGAACGAAGGTTTGGATGTGACTGACTTGGATTGTTTGTCCGGGATGTTAACATGATAGATATTACCTTTAATTTGCCTTGTTCTGTGTTAGATTGGTTACTTGATTGGTGTGTTGATGATAGAACCACCGATCCAGCTTGTATATTAAATTGAAGCCACGTGGTGGACCTTTGGCCGAACCCATGTCCGCCTGTGACCGCGGATCAGTATAGTTGCTATAGCATTGTGCGTTCCTATTCTATCCGAGCGTGTTTTCCGTAATTTATTAAAGATCTGTCTCGTTTGTTGTGCAAATAACATTTAATAATTTGCTCACCGAGCTGAAACATCCCGTTCTTACTCGAGCCTTACAAACATGGAAAGTGCACGAATAGCTGTGGTTGTTACGTCCCATATGGGGCATCATGGCTATCCTCGGGGGCGGAGCTACGTCATGGACGTTCTACGTTGCTAAAACGCGCACCACTGTATCACGTATTTCTATGGGCTTTGTGCGCGCTGCTGTGGAACGCCGGTGGAGCCGGTGAAAACTCGAGAAAACAACACAAACTCAACTTTGAAGAAATCCTGAACAACCAAATTCATATATGTTACACACGTAGGGCTAATCTTGTTACACTGTTCAGGGGGACTCTCAACAACCATCGCAAAGTACCGTTTTCTGCGAGTTTTTGGTCTTTGTTTTCACCGCGAGGGTTGCCAGGCAGTAGAAAATGCCCGGATGACCGCCCCCGAGGATATATCAGTTCGCGTGTTTGTGCCGTCCGATCCAGTCTACTGTAGTCACGAACTGCCGTTTACATAAGGGGACAACCACGTTCTATTTGTACAACGTAACAAACAGCATCTATTCACGAAAACCATGGAGGTTTAGTAAACCATGGAGGTAAAAGACAGAGTCCATGGTGAAACGTTTCTAACTGCAAGTGTTGTTACGAGCGGTAGGATTTCGCGAAGGTCATCTAAGGTCACAATGGAAATCTAAAGCCTTTGCGAGAATTTCGAAAATATGGAATTCTTGATTCGAATAGCTTAAGAACTGTATATCTTGTACATTGGCGATTAAATTGAAGACTCGTCGACACCCGAAATGTTTCACAGGTGCTATCAAGATTCGTAACTATCCATCCATTATGACCATTTGATCCAAAATTAAAAGCATTATAACAAATATTTGTAAGTGTGCAAAATATAACACCAACATTTTGATGGGTTGGAAGGGGTGATAATGTTCAACAAGATTAAATCGCGCCGTGTGTTATAGTACTCATTTTTATATCAGACACTGCCCCTGTCTTGGTTGTGATAAATCGGAAACTCGTACTACTAATGTACTGGATAAGAAGTTTCGTTGGGCAGGTCATCAGCGATGATCAAAAAGTCACGTGATCACTGACACCACTGTACACAACCCTGTGTATGGAAGTTGAATATTACACTCATTAACAACCCTCTTAACACCATTAACAACCTCTTAACAGGATATTAAATTTCCTGCCATTAATAATAGTCTGATTAAAACTTCTTGAAATTAAGTTTAATATTGATACTCGGCCTCGCCTTATTTATTTTCTTTATTTAGTGGTTTATTACGCTTAATATGCCCATTGTTTACTTGTGAAGTGGTGGGTCGGATATTAAAGTAGAAACAAGCGTAATATTCGCTGAGAACTGACACAGCTACATTTTTGTGTATTATCAATTATTCGATATGCGAGTGTATGTCTATACATATTTGCCTGTGTAAACAACAATCCTATTATTTTGAATGTGTGAACACCATAATGGCAGGAAAGAACGTAATGCATTTACTTGATCAAAAAACATTCTAGTTCGTCAACAGATGCAATTTAAAAAGATTTGTAACTGTTTAAATGATGTATGCTTAACTTCATATTTCTTTCTGTTGTATTACAGGTGTGTTAGAACGTCCGCGATTGTCGTAATGGAAGTCTTTCTTCAAACTACAGAAATCGTCCTCGTAAAACGGGTTATTTTTTCACGTTCTTTGAACATTTGTCAAACCAGTAACAAGTGTACTGAACAACTGGGATCCAATGACCATTCGCAGCAGGGACCCCTATCTTTGTGTGGAGGCAGTTGCGGCATGTAGTCAGGACTTGAATTTACCTCGTGCACCTGCTTATCGAACTTTGGAAATCTCCCGCGACGATGTGTCGTGAATTACACATGCCGAATACTTAAACCAAATAATGAAGGACGGATCGGGAATAATCGGTGTTGACTCTTAAAAAAAAACTATCAGAACTTGGATTATAAAAACACTGTGGTTTGAAAAGGAAGAAGGAGACTTCTACATCATGTATTATTTAAAAAATGTAAATAGTTTTGAAAATGCAATTATATTTAAAAAGGGAATGTTTTAACTAAAATGTTTAGTTTACCTATTATTTTGTGCTTCTTCTCGGACCGTAGTATGTTGAAGCGCCTTTGAATTCCTGGATGTGAGGAAGTATCTTCATCATGGCGGCCCAGTTTGTTTGTTTACACACCATCTACTCCTAATGATTTCACGCGGTATCTTAAAGAGAATCCACAATTACGTCAAAATATTGGTTTGCCAATATTGTACGCTCGTTTTGATAATGCTAATTTTAATACTCAGTATCCAGAAATTGATTTTTGGTTTTTAAAATGTGCATTTGTGTGAGAAGAGAAAGTCGCATTAACCACGTGTGAGCATATTTGTAACTGTATACCCATTCTGTAGGCATCATGCAGATAGAAATAATTTTATAATTACTTTATGAAATCGACACGTATTGATTTAACTAAAACATTAAAGTGCAATGCTAAGTCATTTTCTTAGAAATGTATTAAGCCAAAGTGGGACAATCTTGATCTGATAGATCTTGCCCGATTATCACGCGCCATGACGCCGTGGCTTTGAACTCCAGTTTGTTTTTGTTTTGTTTCACTAAAGGGAGTGAACGAAAGTTTCTTTTTTATTCTTCTTGTTCAAATTGTATTTCTAGTTCAATCTATTTGAAGAATATCGCGATATTTTTGTAATATTTCACATACTCAAAATAGGTGATATTTATTCTGATAAAACTAATACCTTGCATCGAAATGTGTAAAGTGGCGTGTATCGTCTGCCGTTTTTTTTTTTATTGGTTGGTGGAATTTACGTCATATTTTTTTCCCAGCACACACTAAAGCGAAAGCTAATCTTCTAAAAACTAGTTTTCGCGACTTTCTAAGCCTTGACATGCACTATTATACATATACATCATGAAAACTGTTCGCATAGTCCTCAATCCTCATCGTTTTTTTTTATTTTAACATTACTGTCCACCTTAGTTGTGTGTCAATCTGTACACAATTTCTTAATTGTTCGAATTTATTGCTGTCGTAAAAATGTCATGCAATCGGTTAATAGAAGCGAAAGCCAAACCGAATGTAAACTTAATTATAGTTTATTAATATTTGCAATATTAAAAATTCGTGTTGTGACACGAATAATTAAAACAAGGTGCCGTTATTTATTTTATTTGAATTTGTTGATGGAATTCAAGTTAATTCTCATGTGCGTCAGCAATGTACCTAGCACTATGTTTCGTATATTTACGTATAAAAAAAAAACAAATCCTCTCTGATAACGATCATTGCGGTCGGCGTCACGTGACCACGGCGTGTTTTCATTTATTTGTTGCTTATAGTGTTGCATTAGCTATTTACACCCTGACACGTGCAGTCACTGACAAAACGCAACCGTTTGGGGCTTATCTTTTATATTTTTGTATAAAAATATAATGCATCTATTAAGCGACTGAAAGAAGACGCGTATTTAAAATAAAATTAACACAATAGTAATAAGGTTGCTTCTGTTTGCTGAAATTTGCTACATTATTGATTCGTGTCCTCCGTTATGTTTTGTTGAAAGCTTTTTCCACTTTCATTCTGTACAGCTGAATCCGGGGGATACAATCCCTTCGTCTTTACCCACCTATATGGTGCGCTTGTATTTAAATCGTTTCAGCATACGTTATTTCTCGTTGGTTCCATATAATGTATACAGACCACTTTTCCTTATTAATGTTACTACTACGAGTATTTTCACTGTTGTCATGGAGAGAATGGGAACGGACTTCGATTCCAAGTATATTGGACGTGTTTATTGATTTATCAACATAAATGATGATGGCAATCGTTCCTTTTTTGTTACAAAAAGGCCAAATAAAGCATTTTTCCTTATCTATCAATATGCGTTTCCACGTTATTTTTTTCATCTAGAGCCGCATTTGTCACCGGTTGCATTTGCTGTAATGTCCACCGTTCCACGAACGTCGTTTTCATTTGTTTCAGAATACTCCCACTCCCAACCCTTAATTGACATCATATACTAGGCATATTAATGAAAGCCGGTTGCGGACTCTCCTTAAGTTATTCCAATACGATTTAAGTGTAACTGGCATTAATCCCCTTTTTCTGGAATACCTTATTGCTCGATTGAACTTCCATCGTAAATCTCCAGATTGTCTCATACCAATTAAGCAATGCACAGGATGCGATACCAATTGAAACCTTAAGGATGCAATATTTTCGAATTTACTAAAAATAAAGTGATCTTTGTCCGATAAATAGGAAATGTGGGACCTTGAATCTTTCTCCTATGACTTAATCGGATATATTCTGTAGAGAGGACGTAACGAGAACAGTGTGTTTTAATGAGGTGGGCACAGTATACGGATGATTTGATGCGAAGTGTATGGAATGGGTGCAAGCGCCACTCTCCGTGGACGCAAGTATGACATCATACTCAGAGGTCACATGACAAAGCATTGTCAACATAATTTGCGCGTAATTGAACGTGAATTTACGCTAATATTACAATCTTCACGCAAATTTAGTACACACAAAACAATGTAACCTGATGGTGTAAATACGGACTTGTTACTTGTGTGTGTGTGTGGGGGGGGGGGGGGGTAGTGATTCTGCGCAGTATACTCGTACAATATGAAGGTGAGTTTGTTTATACGCGCTTGAGTTCCGTAACTATTGAGTCCTATTGCACTACAAAGGTCAATACACAGTGTTTTACCTGCACATACTTACATCCATTAGTAAGCACTCAAACGTTGATTAAAATGCACAATTTATCACGTGACCCGCTAAATCATTTAACAACTCCGTGACTGAAATGTGATTTTTTTTCTCTAGATTTCATATTTAGAAGAAGTCTGACAACGTGTTAAGTTGGACTAATGTAATAATGGACAAAAGCGATTAATAACAATCGTTGCTCCATCATACAGCATGTATGATGTACGCTGCACTCGATCGGTTCTCGACACTACATCGCTGCCCGGATATACACGGGTAATCTCGATTGGTGAAAACATCGTCAGACCATTCCCTGGAGTAGACCGACGACGTCAACGTTTTTCTTCCATGAAGGGCCATCGTCTAATAGGGCTATACGTCGCTATGAGTCCCATATCGAACAGGACGCGGCACGACGACTGCCGCCCTTTAAAAACTCTGGGGCGATGGCAGAATCTGGAAAAAATGCACAGGAAAATACATTCAAATTATAATCTTGCAGGGGTCAATAACTACTAACAGAAACAAAATCTGAACGCCTAAATCTTGGGGGAAAATAAATTACAGTAGATTTACCATGGAAAGAAATATCACAAAACTATGTGAAGGAAAAATTATTTTGCACAGTTAATTCTACCATCACTCCTCAGAGTTTGTAAAGGCCCATCCCAAAATAAACTTGAATTTCACTCGCGCTGTATATATCGCAAGGGACCACATCGTACGCGGCACTGGCACTGTAGTATTGCGTGCTGTCTACGAACATAATGCACGGCATATACGTTAATATACAAATGTATATGATGGTTCTGGAGATGATGAATTTAAATAAAAAATTGCTCAGATACAGTTTTGAAGAAGAAAAAAAATACATGAATAATATATTAATAAAACACCCACCCCCCACCCCACACACTCACACTAGATAGACAAAATCAAAAGAAGCTTACAGCAGAAAACAAGGTAATTAGTGTGTCTGTGGCGCAATGTATTCTGGGATAAACTGCCGGGAACAACAATTATAAGTACGCCATTTCCAGACGATTTTACTAATTGGCGATAGGAATTTTGAAGTGTTGCAGATATGGACCAGATTGGATAAGACCGTGTTCGAACACTTCTCCACCGATCACAAACTGAATCGGTCCTGCTGCATAGTGCAACCTGATAAAACTATCCCACAATGCACTAACATTTGTGATGTATTAATATTGACAATTTAGATAATTAGTCAGAATTTCACAACAATTGCATATTAACAATTAAAATGATAGCAGGTGATATCGCAAATTAAAATTGTATATGCTTCGATCGTTGCCGAAAAGTTAAAGTTGTACGATGTCTGTGCAGAGTACGGCGCGCATGTTTTTGAACGTAAATCCGCGCTCAGATCTTAGGTATATCGGTATTTGTACATTTTCAGGACATTATATACATATTGTTAAAAAACGTGTTTTATCGTCCACCACAGAGAACATGCCTCGTGACACCGTCAAATCGCCTGAACTTGAAATGCTATGTATTACTCTCCCCACCATCCAGCTGCTACTAAAATAAGTTGAGAGTTGTCAACATCATGGAGGATCTCAGAACTTCCAACTCGTACGATTACATATGTCAGTGTCCCTGCAAGGAAATAATTTTCAGGAATAGTGCATTATTTAGAATGGTAGAAATAAAGGATCCATTTTAATTTGGACGAGTTTGCTTTCATTTTGCTAGCAGGGATATTGCGCAAATCAAGATGGGAGAACGAAAATTGAAAATATGAGACAGCGGCGACATATTCACAGCTCCGGGCGTTCTCTACGCTATCCACGAAAGAGTTGGCATTTTGTGGTGCTGTCGAGTGCATTTACGGCGAAACAATCATCCGTAGCGTTCGTTGTAAGACAATTTTCTCAAACTCAATTCTTTAGGTTGTGTGCAGATTGAACTGCGCGCCTTGTTTTATGGGCGTCCACTGTATATGCTATTTGCGCGTAATATACTATACTGAAGGCTGATTTCACAATAGCCGCGGGCTCCGACGGACCCACGTGTTAACACAGCTCAAAAAACCGTGGAAAGAAGCTAAAAAGGCCGACATGGCATGCACATATCCATAGCATTTTATCGAATAGCGACGACATTTCACATAACGTGCCGAGGTGTAAAAAATAATTGCGTGCCCCTCATGAAATTAAGGGCCCAAATTGAACTATATTTCATTTGTGAAAATGGAACTTTTGGGAAATGAATCGGTCTGTTTAAGACCAGAGGGTCAATTGCTAGGTTGAGTCATATGGGGTGGTAATTACCTTTGCCTATGAATTATAGCTACGTTCTAATGGAACTCTCGTTTTGCTTTCGGCGGAACACGACACAAAAGACACATGGAGGACTTTTCTTGTTATTTGTGCCAGCTACTTTGTAAACCCGCTCACTCTTGGTATTGACAACTTGACAGTGTCGGTTAAAAGGGTGGAAGACATAACTCTATCTGCTGCTAACAAGGGCGCTTATCAACGTGAATCCCTGTCAGACAGTAAGAAAGCTACCTTAATTGGCTTAGCTCGGAGACGCGTCCCGTTTCAAAAAAAAAATCAACGTTCAATAATAACCACCATTCCGTGTTGTCGAATCTTCAAGAAGACGATTCTGTTTTTTAATCGGCGTGGATATTTCTTCAATTATAGAGGCTAAGGAGATATTTGCCACATATGCGCCACTTAAGGGCGTTCACACTTTTCAAAAAAAACAAATTGCCTTAAGCAGACACTCTCAGTTCTTTTGAGTCCGTCTTAAAGGAGGTCTCTTGACTGATCACCTGGTTGTCATGGTGAAATAATCTGATCCGCATCCCGTTTAATTCACGTGATCACTTCCACGCTACCTTAAATCACCTGTTTATCGACACCCGTATTAATTTGGTTTGAAAAATATGGTCATTTGCTCAGCGATGGATTGAAATTGGCAATTATTGCCCAAAATACTTGATTAATGAGGTGTCGGTGTACAATAGTAAACAGTCCAGCTGCCGTTTATCGACAGACAATGAAGCGAAATGAAACATTTCTGGATCAATGACCATTTTCGCAGGTCAGGTCATCACTTCACGTGACGTTTTTGGCGCCTTTTTCGTGTCGTCTTATGGAAATAAATCAACCATTGATTTTTTTCCGAGATGAGAGGCCTGCTATTTTCGTCTGTTGATAAATAAAGATATCAAAACACGTAGATTATCCCTCGCCACCATTTCCCACCAAAATTTGTGCTTTACGCGCGTGTCACGTAGAACACGACCAAATGTCCGTTTTCTTGTCATTCATGGTCGACTTCTACGTGGCCATTTACGAAATACATTACAAACTTGGAGCGAAATGCAATTACGAGCCGAAATAAACACAGAAACAAGTAGAGTGA